TTGAAGACTTGTTATTGGCTACGTGTTGAGCAAAATAGATTTGGGAGAGCCTGACGGCATCGACCCACTGCGAAATCGGCCAAGAGCCCTAGAGGAGTATAAATAGTGATATCATACCCATGTTAGTTTTGGGTTAGATCGGGTTCATTTGTTGTCGTCATGATCTTCACTCTTGCGTCTACGTTGCGCCGAGTCCTGTCACTTGTCACTCGAATAAGCTCAAATTTATCGCACTAGAAGGTTGTCATAGGATCAATAGGAATGTATATTTGAAGCTCCCTTGTTATGTATATGAGACGTCTAGAGGCTTGTTGGCCAGGGAAAGAGGGAGGAAATGAAGAAAATCAATGTGTGGATAACAAGATGATTGCGAGTAAGACCAGATGACGAGAGAGACCGTTCGATTTTTAGATGCAGTGCAATAGAACACTCAAAGCCCAAGTTTAGAAAAAAAGAAAAAGAAAACGGGGGGTCATGAATTATTGGATGGCATGATGGAATATGGTTGGATGATGGTGATATATACTTGTTAAATGCAGGAGGTATTTGCATTGGTATATTTTTATAGCGCTAATAGCGGTAGTAGTGGTGACAGTCGAGGGTAGGATGATGGGGCCGCAAAAACGGAGGGCCAACCTCGTCCTCTCCACCGCCATGAGGCAAAGGACATATAGCGGCGGTAATACGCACATCAGCGAGTACGGGTATGGGTACCTCAGTGGCTGAAGAGATGGCGTGATAGAGGATGGACTTGGGTTTCACGAGCGCCACCACCTCGTGTTTCCGACGAGCCATCTTCATTTTAGCGTAGAGAACTTGATGCTCGTCGACCACGATGAAGCTGTGGAGCGATGGTTGGCAAGGCGAGGAAAGGGAGAGGAATAGACGCTAAGTCTTGCTTCCTGGATGCAAGCCAAAAATGCCCAAGGTTCGCAACTCGGAAAGGAAAGTTCGGAAGTTGTAAAATTTTGCAAAATCAGAGAGAAAAGGGGCGACGTTGGCGTGTTCGTAGCACCTCGGATCCGGGCATCAGGACAAAAAGGGGGCCACTGGGTGGCCCCACCCAGTCTTCCCCTGCTACCACAGGCTCGCCATGGGAAACGGGGTGCTCTTGCCGTAAATGCATTGACCCACTCTAGAGGACATCCTCTCCCAATCGTCAAAAATGAAAGAGTCTAGAGCGTAGTCCCAACGTCAGATCCAATACGAATGCCGCCTCTAATTTTCTGTGATTTTTCGAGCACGGAGCTACCGCTTTCGTGTTCGCCTAGAGAGGTGATCACTCCACAGTTCTCGCACACATCAATTGCTAATAGGAAGAAGTGGGCTTCGAAGAATGACGTCACGTGCCGAGTCCCTGATGCCGAGAAAAGAGCCCTCAGAGCGACCACCAAATGCACGAAGGTTAAACAGATGCCGCGCGATACGCCGGGAGGTACACGGCTATGGCCAGGGTCGTCGTAAAAGCCCGTGTAGTTGTTGTCAATTCAGCTGACCAGGCCTAGCTGACTATGAATGGATCCCAACTGCTCGAATAGGCAAAAATTCGTGGCTCCCTGGAGGACGACAAGGTGGGGCTTTTGACTTCCTTGGTCCCGAACGGACAGAATGGGACGGGAGAAGCGAGGCCGGCTGTAGCCACCAAACTGTTATCTCAATGAAGAGATAAGATGCCGAGTTGATTCGACCTCCAACAAGGGTTGAGTAGAGACGGATCTATAGTGGCGCAGGCGTGGTGCAAGGGCTCGACTTCGACCGTGAAGAGGGCGGCTTGAAGAAATCGAGGAAAAGTAACCGACACCCGCCGGCCGGGAGCGAAGACTTGAGGCAAATGGTCCCTGAAAAAATTTTCCTCACTGGGTATTGCCCCGATTTGACCAAAAAATCGTGAGTGATTTGGTAGGCATATCGTCGCCAGAAGCGAGACAGATCGCAATCTGTGATCGCTAGAGTGAATGGCCTCCAGCGCCTGGAGGCTAGCTCCACGACATGTGCTTGTTCACAAAGTCCCAATGGCGTTCATCGAGGCGATAACGATCGAAGAGGTGAAAAGTGGGTGGATAGGGACGGTAAATGCACGTGTGTTGGAATAAGGATAAACGACCTCGGTATCAGTAGTGATACGGCAGGACGAGTGAAGGGGGGGGGGAAAGGCCACCATTGCACGACCGAGGCAAACGGCGTCAGCGACAATGGCGGTGATCGTAAATGTCGTTAATAACTCCTAAAGCGTGGGACGGTGACCTTGAGTAGTCCCTGGTTGAAGTTGGCTTGGATCTTTGTCATGTCGGCATCGCGGTCGAAATGGATTTTCCACTCAAAGTGGCCTGGGGAAGAAAGATTAAGTCTCGAGGACGGGGAGAAAAGCAGGAAATGACACTCACTGTCTGTCTCAGAGTCCCATCTGTCTGCTACGATAACGAGTACGGAGCCACGCTTGGCGGCGATGGTGATACATTCGGACGAAAAACCTGGACCTAGTGGGGTGCTGAGGATGTATTGGGAGGGTTGGGAGTCGAGATTCATCTTAAGAGGTGCAGAGGGTGAGCGAGAAGAGTTGTTCTGAGAGGCGTTGGCGTAGGTCACAGCGGGTAAGGCCTATATATCGGTGGTAAGGTGAGGTGGGTAATGTGGCGAGGTAGATAGGGGTAAGGCAAAGTAAGGTTATATATACAGAAATCGACGGGGGGTGGCGTGTATGGATACGCCAGAAGAGTTGGAAATTTGTATGGAGCCGGCCCAGAAGGGGAGTGGATAAGGCGTGTTAGCCGGTTTTGGGGAGGAAGAGGGGAGGGTGAGGAGCGAATAGACCAAAAAGAAGAGAAGAATGGTTGTCCATATCACAATCGTCATGCCGTTCCGGGAATGAATGAACAGTTTCGGGAAAATAGTAATTTTAAATGGAATGAATAAGCGGTGAATTAATGGGATGAGGTGAGTGGAAGAGTAGGTCAGTGCGGTCATTCCAATGTGTTGAATGTGGCACAGTCAGGCGAGGATGGCGTGTTTGGGTGGGGAGTTGGATCCAATGAATTTTCAGGATTTTTGGAGATAGAGATATGCCGAGAGAGGCGTGTCCCACCAATTGAGATCCACAGTTGTGACCATTACGGAGATGGCCAATGCAAACGAGGGACCAATGACCCGAACAGGTCCGAATTCGCATAAAAAAAAATTCAGGTCCGATTTTTTCGTTGAATGTTTCCCAACATGTTTTGATTTTTTTTTTTTCAATAGAAACCATTTTCGGAAAGTGAATATTATCGAGGAGGCGAAGTGGAGAAGGGTTGGAAAAATTCGTCAGTATACTGTGGAAAAGACATGCACAAATATGGTCGTGAAACGTGACTCACCGTTGAAGGTGGTAGTGGCACGGGCGATGCCACTGGCGTCGATCCATTGCTATCGTCACCCACGACTCTCCGAACCGCTTCCAAGGAACCTGCCCGCGAAATTAGTCAGTTTATATTCACGAGATTGGAACTGGGTCAAATGGTGGGTATCAGATCATGGAGGCAATTTGGCGTTTCCGGATAAGGGTGACCCGAGAATGCGGCGCTTGCCGCGTGTGGGCCAATGCTTTTGTGTGCTCGGTAGGAGCTGGATGTGGAGTTGGAACGGCGAAGAGCGCGCACCCAGACCAGAGGAGAAGGGGGGAAAGAGATGGCGCGTGGAGATGGAGACAGCTATCAAGAGGAGCTGGATAAAGAGACGTACCCGAAGTAAAAGATAACGAAGCGACTGCACCGTCGAGGATATGGCGAGCAGACGCTTGGGTTGGGAGATAGGTCGGCATGGTTTGCCCTCGCAGGAGCGCTGGTCGTGAATTGGCTGCCATCGTGGAGAGAACTGGGCTTGTTGGTACTTGCTTGTTTGCAGAAGAAGATAGAGGACAGAGTAGCAGAGGAAGGCGGGAATTTTTTGTGTTTTGAATGTGCTAGTGAATGGGATGGGTTGGACGGGTTTGGGTGATCAGCAGGCTTGTGTGGATATGCGCGCTTGGAAAGTGGGATGAGCCCCGTATGCAATAGGGTAAACTCGGTATACTACAATAAAGCTTGTCTCGTTCGAGACAGAGAGGGAGAGGGACGCTGAGAGGGGGGTTAACCTTGGTGGTATCGAAATGCTCGGTCGTGCAACAGACGCACTGCGACTATATAACTCTCTCTGGAAACGCGCTAGCGGCTCGGGGTGTAATCCTTGGAGAGGGAGGAGGTAGAAAGCAAGATGGAATCGGGTAGGTTGAGAGGCAGCAAGCAAAGGTACACCAGGTGTATCCCAAACACAAGACCGATCATCGAGCCGATCTCAAAAGTCCTGCTCACGCAATATATTCAAACACACGCTATACAGCGATGAAAGGTAAGCACTTTAATCCACGGATGTGTATTAATTGTCTACAGAAAAATTCTACAGAGGTATGCAGTGGACCCTTGGGACGGTGCCATGGGTTGGAATGCACCCAGACAGGTCCCGAAAAGGTAGAATCCTCGTAATCTTGATGATGTCTGAGCTCTTCATTAATCACCGGCAGGTGCGTCAGTGGCTCAGCCTTCAGTGTGTAGGCATTAGGCCATGTATGTATACCGTAATGCTACTGTTGCTTGAAGTCGCTGGCAGAACTTTCGCATCCGGATAAACACGAAAACGGACAGTTTAATGGTAGCGGAGTGAGCGTTTCGCGGGTTGAATAGGAATTATCAAATGAATAAAGCTAAAAGGGATAACTCAATTTACTGTTTTTGACAGGAAAGGTTACTGACGACGTTGCCTTTTTTTTACAGCATTTGGCCTAAACACCACAATGGGGGGTAGAGACGAGTGGTGGCCTCGTGGCTGCCTAGCTAAAAGCTGAATGGGGCCCATGCTAAAAATCACCCTTTTGCCAAAACTACCGCCCTCTATCCATGCAGATTGCTGTCCGCTGGCTTGCCTAGAAGCACGCTCAGACCATCATTCGCCCTTTCTCCATACAAGGTCGACATACACTCACCGCCGCACATACAGACTCCCTGTCTCTCCTCCTCCTCTACCCCTCTGACAGACGTAATCGATGAAACAGGTCCACAACACCTGACTCTGAAGTTGACCGTCTCCGCATCCCCCTCCATGATCGAGGGTCTAGACCAACGGACCCCACTCGTGTATACGCTCTCCGGTGGCGTCCTACCGAGCGTCAGTATGCCCTATGACCAGCAAGAAGCCCATTCTGAACAGCTCCGGCCCGATGATCATGCGCAGGTACGAGCCGATTGTCAACCTCGACGTGAACACAGACGAATAAGAAAAAAAAATTCGCCACACACGATATCTGCAAGAAATCAGTCATCTGCGACACCCAAAACAGGTGCATCTGTGAGAAACGATCAGCCGCTCACACGTCACTTCTCGCATGCGTATTGTCGGCCGTCATCATGTATACACGCCACGCCGACAATCTCGGCAGACAAGTCATCTCGTCGTCGTTGTGCAATCAATGACGGTGGTATCCGTTTAATCCTCTCCGATGGAAAAAGCCGTATTGTATAGGTGCACGGTTCTCTCCAAGTCTGAAAGACGATTCTGGTATCATTCGCTGACTAGTCCGCAAGGGATGGGACAGATTGGAAAACCACCGAGCTGGGATCTATGGAGGCCATAACAAAGAGACCGGAGAGGGGAACAGAAGGAAAGTGTTTCGAAATGCCATTCTTGGCTGATAAGGCGTTTAGCTCGGGTTTGAAATAGAGGACTGGTCGTACCTTATAGTTGACGGCTGGCAGATTAGGTCGCGTTTGTACTTGCGGTTTGATTCGTTTCGGTTTATTGAAGAGCTAGCTTATATTAGTTGATCAAGAAGAAAGGAATCGTCACTGAAACAAAGACTTGAAGTGTGGCAGCGC